AGGGATTATCATTTATCCCCACACATCTGTCTCCGTAAGAGGCAGTGAACTCCAGAAGACAACAGCGTGGCAGCACCTGGCCCGGAACAGGACTTTGGTGAATATCTATCCAATCCACATGCTCCATGGAGGCGTGTACACCTGTAGCTTCTTCTCCACACGTGCCGGCCTGGCCTCGCTCCTCTCAAATTCCCAGGAACCGACTCTGATGACAGGGACTAGATGGGGGCCTCCTTCTTTTCTCTTGGGGAGGAGGGGGCATCCCAGAACCCTCCAAGCGGCAAAACTGCGTATCTGCTCAGGAAAAGGGAAGTGTGCATACACAAGACTGCATGCAGCATCTCAGGTTCATTCACAGGCCATCGCTGGAAGTCTGTGACCCTCAGGTGAAGCACCCCTCTACTACACTGTTAAAAAGTTAGATCTGGCCAAAACCGGTTTGGCTCAGTGGATAGAGCGGTGGCCTGCGGGCTGACAGGTCCCAGGTTTGATTCTGGTCAAGGGCATGCAACCTTGGTTTCAGGCACATCCCCAATAGGGAGCGTGCAGGAGGCACCTGATCGATGTTTCTCTCTCATCGAAGTTTCTAACTATCTCTCTCCCTTCCTCTCTGTAAAAATAAATAAATAAATAAATAAATAAATAAATAAAATATATTAAAAAAGAAAAAAGACAAAAAAAAAAGTTAGATCTGAATTATCAGTTTCCTCATCTGCAAAATGGGTTCACAATGGCTGCTAATTCCGTGTTCGTGTGTCACGAGGAGGCGAGCAAGCGTGGGATACGTCTGGCGGAGTGCCCCGTGCACAACACATGCTCATCAACGGAAGCCGCCACCGCTTTCCCTTCGGTCTCCACACTCCACACGGCGCTCCCCTCCCATCTTCATCTCCAAGCAGCTCCTCTGAGATTCCAGGGGGAGAGACAGGAGCCCCTCAGAGTTCACCAGGATCGCAAAACACAGTCCTCCCGCGTCCTGCATGCAGATCCCCGCGGGAAGAAAGGACCCGAGTGACTATGAGTGACTATTTTCCTCACTTCGAACGCCTGATGTTCACCTGCGAAGGCCCTTCAGGTGAGAGAGCCGGCGATCTCTTCCCACATACACCCAGGTCAGCTGTCAGCACACACGTGTTCTATTGGGCCCAGGCAATGCTCAGAGGCAGAACTATTAAGTGAACGTAAAATGGAGATGAAAAGAACGTGTTTGATCAAAAGCTCGTCGGCAAAAACACGCTGACAGGGACACAATTAGCTTCCTCAAACGGTTCTCTGTGATGCCCTTTGATGACACTGGATGGTTAAGGACCTCGCTCTGCGTTTCTAAGCCACCACCCAGCTCTCCTCCGGAGGCACCAGATCGGTTCTTAAACGTTTTCAGCTCTCCCGCTGCTTTCAAGACCATTCGCCACTCAGCCCAGGACCCAGGAAGGCAGATTCTAAAGTAGCACAAACCCTATCATTGGGATTCCTTCTACACATGAATTTCTCAAGCGTCTCTAAATATTTGACTTCAAGAAGAAGGGGGGAGAGGGGGGAGGAGAAGGCAAGCATTTCCACTTTAAAACAATCTTTCATCTCTAAGCGATGCAAATTTTCTTTGTTTAGCCAATCCGCATACCACCAGCCAGCCAGTGTTTGATCGGGCCTTTATTTAACATCACTACCCCGAGCTGCACGGCCAAGTCTGAAAGTTTCAGATAATGATCTCATTAAAAGCAACAAATTGGCTCGGAGATGAAATATGTATCAATATGTCTCAGAACGCTGTAAAGCCCCACACTTCAGAACTACAGGAAAAGTGTAATTAATTCCCCCAGCACTCACACTGCGTGCCTGACACTCTTATAAGCGCGTGGGCTTTGATGTTGCATGAATAAGATAATAAAAGTAATTAATAGCATTTCATATCCACACATTGTTTTCACAATTCTCACAGATGAAGATGTGGGGGGAGAGAGAGAGAGAGCGAGCTCTGTTCTTACAGAGCACACTGTGACCTTGGGAAAGTTATTTAAGCCTAAAATGCACACAGAGAACCAAGAATCCTGTGACTAATCCCAAGGTTTGAATTACTTACTCTCTCTCAGACACACACACACACACACACACACACACACAAACACACGCACACACTTGTTAACCAGGCCTCCCCCTACCCTAAACTATAATATACAAATGACTGAACAGGTTTTCTCTATCAGACTATGATGCATGATAAGGTATCAACTGTATAAACACACACACACACACACACACACACACACACTCTTTCATTGTATGTAACAGGGCGGGAAACAAATCAGTAATACAAACCAATTTCCTATCTTAGAATTCTTAAAAGAGACTCCCAAACAGGTTTTTCCCCCTCCCCTACACCATGAACAGTGCCAATGATCCCCAGTGGAAATAGCAAAAGCTGCTACCAGGACAGTGCTATTATTTAGGGTTAGTTGTAGGAAGAATGAACTCTGCTCTGAAGACCAGAAAGCAGTCCACAGCAAATCCTGCACCGATATAGATAGATAGATAGATAGATAGATAGATAGATAGAAAGAAAGAAAATAAGGAGAGGTTTGAAAAGTTCAACAAGGGCAGTTAGAAAACATGATTGATCCAAAGCTAAACACCAAGTTGTTTCTTCTGCGTTCTCCTCTCTCATGAAAATGTTGTAGTCCCTCTCCGCAGCCCTTACAAGCACTAACTTTCCTCACAAAAACCCCTTCCAGGGCTGACAGGGGCCACACCAGGTCCTTACACTGGGCAGCGTATTCGAAAAACAAATGACCACGTGCCTGCCTGTCCGCACACAGCCCCAAAGAGGGGCTCAGGGATGTGTCCCCACAATCAGGTTATTAAAGATATCAAGAACACCAAGAAAGGCCTCCTCCAACAGCCCAGACACACGCACTAGCGTTACTGTGCTTATAAGGGAGTTAAGGACATCTATTAGTGATTGCCTAACAGGTAAACGTATTAAATACCATTTAAGTCATTTTTCTTTACTTAGCAATTGTTGACTTTTAAAAAAAAATTTTTTTTTTTTGGCGAGGCTAAATGGACTACAAAAGAGCGAGATAAGCACTTCAAAACGCTTCAGAAGAGAACAGATTCCTTCTGCCAAATTCACACATTATCTCCCCGCTCGCCGAGGATAAAATAGTTACAAATGGTGTGTTTAAACTGCTAATTCTGTATTAAATGGTGAACCCGAGATTATCTCCAAAGCATAGCACGCTGCTCATAGAACCGATCGCTCGCCAAACTGTTAAAAAAAAAAGTACAAGTTAAAACACTGCAGATAAAAATCGCCGACTTCAAAAGTCTCCTTCAGAGAGCTCAAGTGCACGTTAAAACATCTTTCCTCTCGGGGGGAGGCCGTAAATCAAACGTCTCTAACGCCGGCGGGGCCCAGGGCAATCCTCAGAGAATCAGGAGCCGCAAGCAGCCCTCTGTCTCCCCCATGCAAACCAGTTAGTTCCCGAGGCTGCGTGCGACTCAAAGCTGCAGGGATCTTCGGCACAACACCCCCCGAAAAAGCTGATCAAGGAAAAGACCACAAGGAAAACATGCATCCAAGAAAAACGTCCGAGGCCTTTTTAACACAGGTAGTCAGTCCCATGGCTCAAACATGTGCTGCCCCGGCCGCTTCCCCTGCAGGCTAAGATGGGAGCAGGAGCCCTGCGAGGCGATGCTGCCAATGAATGGCCCAGCAGAGCTGGGTGGAGACACACCTCTCAGGAGCCACGCTGCCCAGCTCCCTGCCCCACGCCCAGCTCCCGCTCCCATCCACTGCAGGGCTCTGAGTCTGTCTGCACAGGAGAGAGGGGGACACACGGGAGGGAGGCTCCTATGCAATCAGGCCATACAATCCCCTCCTCTCCTCCTCTTCATTCATAACTCCTCCAAAGAGGGAACGCGCCAAAGGCCCCAGAGCTTGGGCCCTGCGCCCATCACCCCATCACCATCGCCCGGGGAAGGTTCAGAGACAAGCCAACCGTTTCCAATCGCCCCCCATCCGAGGCATGCATGCACCCTCACCACCCCAAGCGCGCTGGCCTGGCCACTTACTAGCAAGTGGGTAACCTCGGAGCCAAGGAAGCGGGAAGGCATCGCTCCCCAGCTCCAGGGCCGGCCGGCCGCGAGGCTTGGGCTCAGCAGGAGGCTCTGTCCCTGGCCGCTAGGATGCTTTGAAATGCAGACTTCCTTCCAAGGGGAAGGTCCTGTCAGGGGGCGACCCAGTCTCCAGGGCTCCCAGGCCCTCCTCGGAAGTCCTTGGCCCAGGGCTGGGCAGGCGAGAGGTCTCCCTCCCGGCCTCTGAGATCGGAGGCACGCACAGGGCTGCCCTCCACGGCCCACTCCAAGGCACTCCTCCCGGGCCACCCCCACCCCCCACCCCGTCCCCCTGCCTGCTGCTGCTGCTGCTGCTGCTCACCCCGAGCCCTGCAAGCGGATCAGCCCTCAGGTGAGGCTCCAGCGAAGAACCTGGTTGCACGGCTCCCCCAGACACCCCTGGCTGCTCCCGGAACGAGCATGCATGCATGCATGCACATGGAAAGCAAAGCCTGCCGCCTGCAAGGAGGCAGCCACCCCATCCTTCGTCACTCAGCTTTGCAAAGTTGGCATGCAACAGGTAGTTCCCGGGACTTCCACCTGAGGCGGACCGGAATGCCCCAGCCGCCCGGGGGGGAGGGGGGCCGTGCCCAACGTGGGTGCGGGACCCGGGGGGAGGGTTCTCCTCCTCACCGCCCCCGGATTCACAGGAGGCCGGGCCCCCACGTGCGCTTCCCCCCGCCACCCACTCCCCCACCCACCCCGCCCCGGCGCCCCGGAGGCCGCGTCCCGCCCTCCTTCCCGCCGGGGAGGGATGCCGCCGGCCCCCTCGCCGCCGCTCCCGCCCGCCAGCCCGCGGCGGGGTCGGCGGGCGCAGCCCCCGGAGCCATCTTGTGGCGGCGGCGGCGGCGGCGCGGGGCCCGGGGCCCGGGCGGGCGGCTAGCTACCTGCACGATCTCGCCCTCCGCGCTGAGCGTGGCCCCGGCCCGCGAGAAGCGGCCCGTGAGGCCGGTGGTGTAGGTGGTGTAGTCGCCGCTCGGGCTCGACTCAAACAGCACCACCTCCACGAACGCCGTCTCCTTGGCCCGCGCCGCGCCGGGCCCCGCGGCCGCCAGCAGCAGCCCGAGCAGCAGCGGCAGCGGCGGCGGCGGCGGCAGGCGGGGGCCGCGGGGGCCGCGGGGGCGGCGGCGGAGGAGGCGGCGGCGGCGGCGGCCCGGGGCCCCTGGGCGCCCGCCCGAGCGCGGCCTCATGGTCCTGCGGCGGCGGCGGGAGGGCGCGGAGGGCGGGCGCGGCCGGGCATAGTCGCGGGCCGGCGGAGGGACCGAGGGCAGGCGGGCGCCTCACAGCCCCATCGCGGCGGCGGCGGCGGCGGCGGCGGCGGCGGCGGCTTTGTGGGTCGCAGGCTCCGCTTGGCTCCCCCGGCCGTCGCGCCGCGGCCCTTTCATCTGCTCCACGTGAGGGGTTATCCCCGCCCCGACAGCGTCGTGACCCGCTCTCCCCTCCCTCCCTCCCCGCGCTCGACCGCCGCGGCCTCCCCGGGGAGCGGGAAGGCGGGGCGGGCGCGCCTGCGGCAGGGGGCGTGGCCCTGTGGGCGGACACGCCCCCCGCCCGCGCTCCGCCCCGGCGTACGCCACGCCCCCTCTCCCCAGCCCTGCCCACCGCTTTGCACTCCGCCCCATTGTTCTGGCCACACCCACCGCCCGCGCTCCGCCCCGCCCTCTCTCCCCCCGGCTCCGCCCACCGCCTGCACTCCGCCCCATTGTTCTCGCCACGCCCACCGCTGTCTTGCTCCGCCCATTCTTCTAGCTCCGCCCCGGCGTCTCTACGCCCGCCCCTCGCTCCGCCCCCACGCGCATGCCCCGCCCCTTAGTGCCCGCTCCGCCCCTGCTGCGCTGAGCCCTCCGCGGCAGACATTTCTCTTCGGGGGAATTGCCAGAGTTCGGCGGGAATGGGGGATCGCGTCCTGCTCCTGAGCGATATGCATCCTCTCTGGAGGCCCCACGCCCCCCTAGTTCCGTACAGGAGTTAGGAGGACCTTGTCCTTCCCGGATCCCCTCTGCCCGGGAGCAGAGCGTCCCTCCATCCTCACCCCCACCTCCAGGATGGAATGGGAAAGGCCCAGGCAGGCGGCCATGCTGGGACTTAATCCAGTTCTTGCACGGGTGTGGCTTGGACAGTTATTCTCAAAGGGGTGGGGTTGGGGGGGGAGCATTTAGCTATTTGGATTTTAATGGAGTTCATTGTTATGCAGCCCCAGAGACTGTAACTCAAACAACCCCCCTCTAGAGAGAAGTTCTGAAACTTTGAATCTGTGTGCAGTGGCTCGGGAGAGGTCAAGGGCATTCATTACCTTCTAACATATTAAATAAATGTGCTTATTTACTTCCGTCTCTCCTCCACGCCCCACATACACACATGCCAGAGAAAAAGCTCTATATCATGGCTAGCATCTTGTCTTGTTCACCGATGTAGGCCACGACTGCCTGGCCCAGAGTTGGCACTCAAAAAAATATTTGCTGCATGAATTAATGACTAAAAGACTCCGCGATAAGCTCATCATCGTGTGTCCCTTCCATTCTGCAGACGTTTGGGGCAGCTTGTGAACTCACAGCTTCTTAGGAACGCTGGGCTTCCCCAGAATAAATTCTGAACGTGGCGAAGGACAGCCGCCCTCCCCGCGGGGACTTCGATGAAAACCCAGATGAGGGTCCATAAAGAAACCGGTCTCTAAAGCTCTGCCTCAAGAGAAATAATGTTAACGAGACATAGCCCAGCAGCACTATGTAACATGACTCATCTCTCGGCAGTAGAAGGCTGTTTAGAAATGGAGGTATTTACTGAGTAATGAGATTTCACCAAAATCTGGCAGGCAGTTCGGGGAGATAGAAAAGAACTTCAAATAGAAGATAAGGCCCACTGGCGAGGAGCAAGGACTGGATCAGCGAGCTGGATCCAGTGATAGGAGGGAAGAGAAGTGATGTGCCTTCATTATCTGGCGTGACACGTCCCTCGGATACCATCCCGAGCAGAACTTATCTTGTCCCTTTCTAGACTTATCAGACTCATATGAAAACAGCAGGTGCACCAGCAGCAGCTAGAGCTGCCAGGTCTTCGGCAAATTTCGTTGACTTAGGCCAAAAAGCGCACAGAGCTTCGGGAAATTTTCGGCCATCCGAGTTCCATCTCGATGATCAAATAGGGAAGGTCAGGAATTTCAAATCCATAAATATATGCTTTATTCCCAAAATATTTGTGTTATTGTAAATAATAACAGGCATGGATATTCACTGCAGCCCTGTTTTTCATAATAAACAACTCCTGCCCTAGCCGGTTTGGCTCAGTGGATAGAGCGTCGGCCTGCGGACTGAAGGGTCCCGGGTTCAATTCTAGTCAAGGGCACGTGCCCAGGTTTCGGGCTTCACTCCCTGGAGGGGTTGTGCAGCAGGTAGCCGATCAGTGATTCTTTCTCTTCATTGATATTTCTGCCTCTCTCTCCCTCTCCCTTCCTATCTGAAATCCATAAAAATGTATTTTAAAATAATAATAATAAACATCAATGCCCACCAATAGGAGATTAGTTAAATAAATTATAGTACAGCAATTTAATATATGATGAAACACATTAAGTAGCCATTAAGAAAAATGGAGAGCCGAAACCGGTTTGGCTCAGTGGATAGAGCGTCGGTCTGAGGACTGAAGGGTCCCAGGTTCAATTCCGGTCAAGGGCATGTACATTGGTTGCTGGCACATCCCCAGTGGGGGGTGTGCAGGAGGCAGCTGATCAATGTTACTCTCTCATTGATGTTTCTAGCTCTCTATCCCTCTCCCTTCTTCTCTGTGAAAAATCAATAAAATATATTTTTTTAAAAGAAGGAGAATGAAGAAGCACTCTATGAACTTACACGGAATGATCTTCAATACACACTGCTATGTGGGAAAAGACGTGCATATGGTATGCTGCCAGGAGGTGGAGTAGAGACAACAGATACATAAAAGTTTGCAAACATTGACTATGTGTGGAAGGAAATATAAGAAACAACAACAACAAAAAACATGGCTGCCTCCAGATGACTGGGAGGCAGAGAAAGGAAGGAGACCTACTTTTTGCTGTGCCACCTTCGTACCTACTAAATTTGCTCCATGTGCATATATTACCTACTCAAAGGCAATAAAATAAAACATGGAGTAATCTGCTACATCAATAGATGATACTATTAGTTTCCTGTGCAAAAGCGTATTCCTTCAATAGACATTTTACACCTATTGTGACACTGGAATACAAAAAGGAACTGGCCTACAGTGATGGAGAAAGTCAGCAGCGAGGGAATCTAGCTAATGGTTACACAGGACCCCTCTGTGATATATATTTTTAAATATATTTTATTGATTTTTTTACAGAGAGGAAGGGAGAGGGATAGAGAGCTAGAAACATCGATGGGAGAGAAACATCCATCAGCTGCCTCCTGCACACCCCCACTGGGGATGTGCCCGCAACAAAGGTACATGCCCTTGACCGGAACCTGGGACCTTTCAGTCCGCAGGCCGATGCTCTATCCACTAAGCCAAACCAATTAGGGCAAAAACTAATTTTTTTTAAATTAATTAGCCCATCCCTGTATTCAAGTAATTTCCTTCATTTTTCCCCTCCTCCTTTTTTCCTTCCTTTCTTCTGCAAATATTTATCACTATACGGACAGTGAGAGAAGTTATAAAGAATGACAATAAAATACACTTTAACTGTTGTTGTTTTTTAAATTTAAATTATTTATTGTTTAAAGTATTACATAGGTCTCCTCTCTCCTTTTCCCTCCATTGGCCTCTCCCCAACCACCCCCCCCCCCAACACAAGCCCTCACCCCCCCACTGTCTGTGTCTATTGGCTGTGCATATATGAATCCATACAAATCCTCTGGTTGATCTCTTACCTTCTCCACCACTGCCACCACCACCTCTAACTGTTCTACAAAGGAATTTTAAGAGTTGGAATCTCATTTTGCTCCTTTCGGGCGATTCACATTTAAGACATGGTAGCATTCCTCCACGGTATTTATATCTAATTTTGGAAACTTTCATTTATTGTATTTAAACATCACAGAATCCTCTTGAAAGGTACAATAGATGTAATGCAGGCAAGTAGCGGCAGTTCTTTCAGAAGCCTTAGAAGTGTCTCTTCCGCCTTTGAAGTACACCATCCATCTACGTCTCCTTTAAGCCCCAGGCAGAGGCCAATCTGGGCCCCGGTTCATCAGTGATTTAAACTCTGCTTCAACCTGTTCCTGCTCTCCAGTGGCCACCCAACCGGGAGGCACAGACTCAAACAAAGCTCCAGGGGCCGGGCAGGGAATGTGCCTGAGGGAGGCGGGCCAGGTGGAAGCAAAAATAACCAGCGAGGAAGATGGTAAATGGCGAAGGGGCCCCGGGCAGGAACACCCTGAGGAGTGTTGGCCTGGGAACACACGGCGGGTCCCGGGGCCGACCCATCCATTGCTGCTCTTGGGAACAGGGCCGTGACTCATAGATCTTCTGATTTGTTCAAAAGAAGCAGAACTCCAGACTGGTTTGTCGTGTCTCCTAGTGGATGTTGTTTTGTTTTTTTGTTTTGTTTTGTTTCGGGGTGGGTTTTTTTTTTTTCTCATTATTTTTTTTCTTCTTTTTATTGAATGTGTTGGGGTGACACTGGTTAACAAAATCATCTCCTGGCTTTTAAGTGTTTGTAATCGATTTTTAAAGATTTGTGTTGTTGAGCGGGGCCAAATACACAAATCTACAGGCCATTTTCGGTCCAAATGACATGGAAGAGAAGTCTGATAAAGTAGATACTGAATAGTGTGGTTATTGAATGTCAACCCATGAACCATGAGGTCACGCACGGTGGTTCAATTCCTGGTCAGGCCACATGCCCAGGTTGTGGGCTCCGTCCCAGTAGGGGGCTGGCAGGAGGCAGCCAATCAATGATTTTCTCTCTCATCATTGATGTTTCTCCACCTCTCTCCTGGTCCCTTCCTCTCTGAAATCAATAAAAACATATTTTTTTAAAAAATGGAATAGACTTACATGTGCTACTACAGCAAGCATTCCAAGACATACCGCTACCTACAATACTAGTATACAGGGTACATTGCAGCATACGTGGTATTTTCCCAATCTCTTTTTCACTCTCAACCTCAGGTTTATAGAATTAGATTAGCCATGGTACACACACAAGATGTGTGTAAAGCTTTTATTTATTCAGTTAATTACTTTTTTTGTT